GCGTGGAAGTATGGTTAATTCAGGAAACTCGCAGTAAATCAAAACTTACTTCGTTTTTATGAACGAAACTTTTTTGATTTTACGCTTAAATATATACTGTATGATTATTTAAAAACAAAACCAAAAAAAAAAAAAAAAAAAAAAAAATTATGAAATCAGAAAAATAAACGATTTTTAAAATATTACAAAGCATTCAAAAATATTTTTTTCATAACAAGTACAGATACAACTGATAACACGTTAATAGTTCTTTATAGTACAGTAGCGTTCAAAGCATTTTCCTCAATGAAGAGGAACACGGCAGAAGCTACACGTGAAACATGTTTCACTTCGCACACGCAACACCGTCTTTGTGGATTTTTCTTCTTTCCGGCACTAACCATTTTTTCCAATATGTGTTTGCGCATATCCATGGAAAATCTTCCAGGAGGGTCGCGTTTTGATATCATTTGCTCTGGTTCTTCAGTGCTGATTTCAGGTAGTTCATCAGTAACCAAATGTTATGTAAAAATTTCTTGTATTTTATTTTTTGTGTGTTTGTGTCGAATTGTATACTACATATGCATTGAAAAATGCACAATTCATCATATACATAGCTAAGCGCTTTGTCCATTTCACTGTTTTATGCAAAATACTACAGTAGGACAAATACTGATCGGCCCGATCTACTGCTTTCATGTACTTGTTGTAGTCGATCAAAGCATTTGGCTTTATAATTTTTTGTTTCTTGATACAATAAACATTACTACTTTCTTTCATTTCCGCGGAATGGATTGAAGAGATGAGACTGACTTCTTTCTTGGATTGCCAAACATGTACCAATATAGAATTTTTTCTTTGAAAGATTGTTTCTCCTTTTTTCAAATTAGTTTTTTTCAGGCACTCTGGTAGACCTCTATTCTTCGTAATTGTTCTGCAAATTCGTATTTTTTTTTTTTTTTTTTTTTTTTGTAAAAGGGCTTTTGTGTTATCGACACTGTTGTAGTAATTGTCCATGTACAAATGGCGCCAGACATCAGTATATGGCGAAACTACTGCGAGTATTGTTTCTATCAAGCGTGATCCTTGAGCTGCATAAACTTTGCAAATATAACCAGTGTCACTTTCAGACAATATTCGTATGAGTATGCCGTATTTTATAATTTTTCCAGCATTGTAAACTTTTAAAAATAATCGTCCTCTCCAAGATATTATGCCCTCATCTAGTGATACTTGTTGTTTCAGTTTGTAAATGTTATTGAATTTTTCAACAAAATAATTTAGTATAGGCCTGACTTTGAATAATCGATCAGAATTGTCCATGATGTCTTCATTGTTATGAAATGCCAAGTATTTGGCGAAATCCATCCCTTGACATAGTTTTTGAAAAAAACGGTGTACTTGTGCAGACATCAGTTGACCAATAATCGTGTCGGGCATCTTTACAAACTTGTCCCGTGAAAATAATAAGCCCTAAAAATTTCTTCATCTCCAGAATCGTAATATCTCTCCATTTCATGCTTTTGGAAGATATTTTGAACTGATTCATATTTTGATAATAATACCTGTTTGATTCCACGACTAAATATGCAAAAAAGTCATCACCTATAAATAAATTTACTGCATCAGCTGTGGATTCAGGAACATTAGCCATGTTAGTTATCCCAGGATGACCCAAAACTCTTCAAGGTCTGGAGGATTGTCAATCGATGACCATTCATCTGCTTCTTCATCAGAAGTTGTTTCAGAACTACTAGAAATTCTTCTTCGGACGAATACTCGAGAATATGTACAGTCAAAAGTCATTAATCCGGACTCGTCGGGACTTCGGCGATTCCGGATTATAGATCATCAGTTTAAATCTGGTAAGATGGCATGCAGAAATTATAAAATTAAAAATATGAAACCGTAATTAATGAAATAAAGATCAATCATGATCTAAAGGGTATCAAAATTTACAAAAAAAAAAAAAAAAGCTTAATATTTATTTGTTTACTTTATTAAACATTTCTTTCAATGTAAGTTGTTTAAGTCGCTTCGTTTTTTATGTGATAATACATTCTCTTTAATTCTATAAACAGACATAATTTATTGTTCAGTTACAAAGTTCCGCTGTTCAAGTCCTATAATTGCTGTGTCTACCGACTAATTTGTCAATCGAAATTTTTTCGTTTTCAATAACTTCTGTTACTTTCTTCGCTATCGGAAGCAAATTATACTAACGACGAATTTGATTTAAATCATATCAAAGACGGAGTACATCAAGATGAAATACTACATTTAGTAAGGAATTATAAGCCAAATAAAATAAAAACATCTGCCCTGAAGATGAGGATAGTGCCGACAGATCAACTTCCAATTCATTGCGCGCCGCAGCGTTAAAGATAAACAAACATTAAAGTTTAGATAAACAAAGGATATGCCTTATCCATTTTTTGTAGCAATTCCACTTTTTGTTTAATGAACTTCAAAACATACTTTCGCTTTGTAGATCCTTTACATATTAATAAATATATATCAGAAATTCTATTCGACATAATCGAAAGTTCAAGCTTACTTTTATAAAATTGCTCTAACAGTCTGCAAAAAATAATAAGCCAGATCTAATTCGAAGATTAAGGAACAATGCAATCTGCAACATTAACTGAAATAGATAATTTTAGCTTAGCTTATACCGTCCGTATACATTAAACGCGCACTCGTAAACGTATTTTGCACATGCACACAAGCATATCAGCAGCAGTAAAGGTCAACGCGATGCATGCGCAGAAAGTTCGTAGCTTTGAGGTCCGGATTATAGATCATTCCGGATTATGGGTGTCAGAATTAACGACTTTTGACTGTAATAACTTCATCATCGTCACTTTCTTCGATATCTTGACTTTCAGAATCACTATCATACGTAAAGTCCGATAATCTGTCAGCGGATATTTCTTCATCACTATCTTTGTCACAACAGTTCATTTTAGCAATTTATTTAAACAATAAAAAAAAAACCACGCTTCAAATTGACAAAACACGACTTGTACAGTTTGGAGCTAAGAATTCGATTGAAGATGAAATAACAAAAGACAAAGTAACTCGACCAATCGTAACTTGTTGAAAGAAAAATGCAAAGCGTTGCCTAGCAATGCAAACAACACCCATATAATGTCTAGATTTGTGGTAGCTAGCAGGTATCCACCACAAATCTACTAAATACGTATTTTTACGTGACCCGCACTCCAGTATATTTTTCCGCATATTTTTCCTGCAAAAGTATTGTTTATTGAGTTTATTACCAGCTACACTACATATGAAAGTTACAACTCTTTTGACATTTTTACTCCCACAGATAATTGTCTTGACAATCACTAAGATTATGATTTGCAGTTTAACGATGGTTGGCTTGAATGCAGACATTGCTCAAGCTTTTTAATCTATTATACATGGTAACCTTCCAAGATGATAACAACCAATTCATCAGTTTCGCATTTCATGTAAAACATATCATGCCATTCATGCATTTAAGTATCCAATGCAGTTACGACTCATTTCTCAGAACATTAATCCTTCTTATTCTGACAGTGAAGAACTTTCTGTAATTTGATTTTAGCATAGGAATGTATTTAGATTTAACATACAAACTAGGTATTATAACACTTAGTAAATAACAAATAAAATGGAATTCAGTATCAGTACATGACTGCAAAACAAAGACTTCATAATAAATCTAACTCAGTGATCAGGTTTCTTGAAAGTGATTTGAGATAAAACAAATTAGGTGATTCGGAAGAGAGGGATTGTTTGTAGCACAATGTTATAACTCGAAAAAATTAATATTATCAGCCAAGATTTTTAACTACTCATATGTGGTAAAACTACCCAAACAAATCTTTAGGTTTCAAATTACTTTTTCTGTGTGGGAGACCTTAGAGAATATGATTAGTAATGTTCTAAACTAGTATTTATCTTCTTAGAAATATTATTTAATTTTATACTCTGTTACATCAAAATATGAATTTCAAGGTCTTTTCACTTTCTCTCCTCTTAAGATAGTAATGTCTTCCATCACTGCAAAGCAGTTGCTTTCTCCACATCAATTGAGATTGCTGTTCATGCCAGTCTTAATTCCTATGCCTTTGATGAAGTGAAACATGCTAAATGAAAATTAAATTGGAAAAAAAAAAAAAAAAAAAAAAAAAAAAAAACAATTATAACACATGACAACTACCGCAGCTGTTGTTACCAAGGTTATAAGGCAAACTGGGCAAGAGGTAAAAACCCTGAAGTATCTATTCTAAACTAACAGACAACATACATGGTCATTTTGAGAGGTTTCATTATATTTATTACTGAAATATATGCTGTGTTACACAGTTGTTCTCAATGGGCAAAATCCATTATTAATACTAAAGATTTAACAGAAACACGATTCTAAATTAAAAGCTGAAAATCTTGGGTCCTTTCACTAAATTTCAGTTTCATACTTACACAGCTTTCATTTTCTGGATATTTCATACCTTTCTAAATAGAATATTTCAGTGAATAACTTATTGAATAATTTTTTTGATTCACAATTTTTTCCTAGAATTGGAACTTTCTTCCATTACACTTACAATCAATGATATTTTAAAAAACTGATCCATTTATAATTCTTCAAATGCTTTATTTTCCAAGTATGAAATGAATTTGAAACAGAAATCCAGAAATTCTTTTACAGACGATTCTTTTTGTGGACCTCATGAATTCCTTAAATTTATTTTTAGAAAGGACTATTATTTAACTAATGAATATATTTTCGATTCCACCAAAAACACCTTTAAGAATAGTTCACATTGAATGGCACTAACAAAATTGCTATCAGCTATATTTCCAAAATCAAGGAATATTTACAGAACATTTGGAACATACACTGAAGTAGGACACTCCACCGAAATGCAAGAGTGCTTCTATAATATGGCACAATATGGTTATTTTATTCTTAATTAAAAGTTCTACTTTCAAATAATTTATGCTTTCAGTGATATTTAAGCACTTACATGTATATAGAACAGAGGTACTGGACCATGAAGAAGCTCAGTGAAAACAGAAATACCAACAAACACTGATAATACCACAGAATAGAGACCACTTAAAGTATGAACTTTAGTACTGCTTGACCTGAAACCAAATTTTTAAGCATAAAATAAGTAAAAAATATATAAAAAGATAATTACTAAATAAATTATAATGTGACTGCTTGATTTGAAACAAGATTTATTACAGTAGCAAACAAGGGCAAAAATGCATAAATATCATTAACAAAGTAAATCATCATAATATTCCCTTAAGCATACTTCATAAAAATTATCCATAGTTAGTTAAAACAAAATCCCAGTTACCTAATATAATAAGCATCAACATGCTGGATTTTAAATGTTCTTACTACAGATATTTTGTCAAGATAACAGGATAGAAAACATGTTACAATACAAATAATTTTACCAACATAACTAAAGAGAAATGTGCAAATTATTACATTGGTTTTACATTTCTCTCAAATGTAAACTGAAGAACAACAGTATTAATAAAAATGATTTAGAACATATAACAATAAATAGAAATATGTAAACTGACATTAAGAAACAATACTCAAGCATCAAGAACATTGAAGAAACAACTGAACTACCTTTTCAGCACAAAATGGAATAATTTAAGAATTAGAGTAAACACATAAAAATTAAAAACATACCACTGGGAATCATTTCTTTCAACATTTCTAACTTGAGATCCTAGAGATTCATCAGAAAAACTACTGGAAGGTGCAAATGTAGCATCAGTAGACAATAACTTCATGCACTGATTTTCATTACTTTCCCTTTTTGTATAAGGATGGTCACGTAACTCCATTTTTTCTGCAGACATGCTACAGCTAGGTACATTTCTACAGAAATATACAAGTAGAAAACATACTTCTAATACGAAACAGCAAGATAATGAAAAGGTCAGTTAATATCACAGCCATATGCAAGACATGCTGGAGAAATACAAATTTCAACTTTCAGAGCTTTCAATTTACAATCTTTTATTTTCATCATATTCCAAAATATTTTTATAACATGCTTAGGAGAAGTCTTGAAATACCAGAAAGCTATAATCTAGAAAAGAAAAAGAAAAATTCAACATACTATTCCTATAAAGTTTACGTAATTTAAATTGTGGAGCAATTTCTATATGCCAACTCATACCTTTATTATCATAATTTTAAAAAATAAAGTTTTGCTTATGGAAAAATGTTGATACTTTTCCATAACAGGATGCCACTTGGCACCAAATGCAAATGTTATTATGAAATCTAACTAGAGAAAAGAATGACAATCCCAATAACATTCACAACTCCATTAACACGTTGACTGCCGTGGGGGGGGGGGTCAACAGTGGCCCACGATGCGACCAATAGTAAAAATACATAATTAAATATCGATGCTAATAAATTTTTAAATAACACCATTGTTACTATATAATAAATCATAAAAACTTAAATAATAAAACGCAAAACTTATCCACAGCGCCTTCCTAGTTACAGTTGACAGAGTTCTACCAGTATGAGCTCGACGCCACAAATAAACTGAATAGCTATCGGAGTAGGTATGTGGAAAACATTTCAACAATCATCTACTCTACAAAAACCTTCTTTTACCTTATCTTCTGCTGCAGTGCACTTTCGGTGTTTCAGTAGACATAAAATACAATTTCCTACTGTGATTTTCAGAACAAAGTATTTCAATATGGAGGATACAAATAAATTATTCGGGTAGAGTAGACTTTAAGGTATCCCTTGTATTATGGCGAAGTTGTTGTTTGAGTTATCTCCAAGTTGTTTTATTTGTGGTAGCCTGAGTAGTTGAATGTTATGAAACCCTATTGTGACATAATCGGGTGCATGATTCTGGGAAATTTTGAATCATGGGATGTTTTGTAAGTGTTTTTGTGGTGTGTGTTGGTTTGAGTCTTTAGACGGTAGAATGCCCGAATGTAATAAGATTAATTTGAAGTTTCTGTACGATGTGAAGCGAAAGGGGAAAAGAGCTTTAATTGACTGGTGTGTAAATGAAGGCTTACTTAGTAGCCATTATAAGTGTCCTGTATGTAGGAAGGACATGCGTCTAGTCGAACGTAAAAACCGTTTAGATGGATTTGAATGGGTTTATAGGAAGAAAAGTTTAGATGGTCACTATGTGAAACGTTCAATCAGAAAGAGTACCTGCTTTGAAAAAAGTCATTTAAGTGTGATTGATATTTTGATTTTTACGTGGCTCTGGGTGTACGAAGTGAACTTCAGAATCATGGTAAGTGAATATTTGCTTTTGGTAGTTCTTAAATGTATAACATGTTTTTCCTTTTTTATGTTATTTTATTACTTGGTTTAAAATGTTTTTTTAATTGAGATTATGTATTTTTTGTTTGCCTATATTGTAGAATTTGTGCTTCTTTGGTTAATTAGTTAAGTAACAAAAATTGAAACTAATAGATGTTATTAAGGGAAAAAAAATCTTCATGCTAATTGGCAGATATTAATGATTAAATAAATGAAATACTTCATATTTTTTAATCAAAGAAAGAATTCAAATCTAAAGAAATAGAAATTTTACAAAAATAATACTATTTATATTTATAAACTACGAAATTTTTTCTCGTACATTTGTACATTCCTCCTAAAATAAAGGTTTAAAAATAGCCTTCATATCATTAGATAAAATCTCACAGGCCATAGACTACTCCAGTATTTTTTTAAATATAAATTAGTGAAAGTTAACGGAACTTGATTACCTTTTAAAACATCTATAAAGTATTAAAATTTCATTTCTTTTTGTTGTTGTTTTACTTTGATACAAATATAATTAATATGTTTACTTTGATTATTAATAGTATTACTTAAACCAGTTTTAGAATTATTAGAAAACCAGTTATTAAGTTTTATAGTAGTAAAGTTAATAACTCTTATCATAAAGCCTTAGTTCTTTTAGATTAACAATGCATAGATGAAGATAATCTACTTCTAACTGATCTCAGTTACTTGTTTAAATTCAGGTTTTTAAACTAAATACTGTTATTTTCAACAAGATTAAGACATAATAACACGCTGGACAAATACTAATTCAGAGGTCAAACAACAAAAATCAGCGTTATATTTTCAAATTTTCACAGAACTAGTTTCGATGGTTTTACCGAACCACCATCATCAGCTGCAAAAGGGCAACGCTGATTTTTGTTGTTTGACCTCTGAATTAAGATTAAGATTGTTAAAGGATATTATATCATAAATAGATCTGTAGGTGATGGCAAATTTTTACAAATCATTGTATGGAAGTGAACGAAAAAATATGAATCCTTTAGAAAATAAACAAGGTTTGCACAGCTCAGACGAATAATTTGTGCCCACCGGGATGCTTTAATTATTCATTTTAGTACGGATGAATTTTAATTTGTGCCCACTGAGCTCCAATTAAAATTTTGTCTTAGGTCTATAACAGGCTTAATCCAATACTGGGCAGATATACTGGAGAATAATTTATACATAGAGAAACAAAATTTTAAAAGTAAATGATAAAATGGCTAAAAATTAAAAATAGTACTCATCATAAAAAATCTTGAATCCATTAATACAGCTCTAAAGATAAATTTAAAAGTGCTTCAATGATAAACATCAAAACAGAGATTTTAAAATTACTCTGCTAAATAAGACGCTCTTTAAAATTAAATCTACGCTCTATATTAATTACTCAAACAATGCTCATACTTTCTATGTTACAATTATAACATACACAAATTAAAAATATTAAACCCGTACCATTTAACCTGAAGAACATGTATATACATGTAGCATAAAATTTTGACTATAATTTGTAGCAGCCCCTTTAATCTCCTTTTTAATTTGATTATTTCACCTTTTTATCCACAAAATGGTAATATGCTTATATTAAATCTTTCTGAATGGAGTCATTTTAAAATTGATCCTTGGGATATGATGATGCATGTATACTTTACAGTTACAAACCTGCATTATTAAATTTATTCCAGACAGATGTTAAAATGGTAATATTAATAACAGACTATAACAATAATTAATCTTAAATTCATTATTATAATTCTAAACATTTAAAATACACCGAAAACATCAAAATAATAAATCCAAAATTACCTCCTAAATATCGGTCAGTCTGAAGTTAAATTTACACATCCGGAAGCTAGCTTCGATGATAAGCCACAAATTAAATCGCAAACACACACTACAAAGCACTCATCACTCAAAACGCATGACAACAGTCATGGCTACGCAAACCCAGAAAAGTATCTAGACTTTTTTTCTTACTTTTATGACAGTACTATATGAAAGACGCTAAAATGTCAAGAAAAAGTTACAATATAAGGTAGGTTTTTTTTTAAAAGAAGACTAAATTGAAAGAATCTCTTTACCAACAGAAAATTTTTCAGTTGCGACAATACATAATTCAAAATTAAATTTCTGCATTGATGCAAAAAGATATTTAACGAACAGCCTTTTTACCAACGATTCCATACACACAGAAAGACAGACTACTTATTCATAAAACATACAAATAAAAACCATGACCACAGATATCAGTTTCAATGTAAGTACCTACATTATATGTCAAACACTACTTAACATTCTCCTCAGAACAGTCTACCGCAAATTAATGAAATGATTAGTTCCTCTGACACATTCAAAGAGCAAATAACGCAAACGGCGGGGGGGGGGCGGTAAGGCCGATAGAGATAACAGAAAGTTGGTTGTTCTTTGTGTGCATCTTGAAGCTAAGTCTTCACATTTGAAGACAGAGACAGAAACAAGAAATGTTTTTTCCATTCGCCCTTTTATCATACCAAATCGTCGCACAGGATTCTCTCACTTTATGAAAGTAAAGAGTTCTTCTGAGAAGCCCAAATGTCACAAAAACGGAGATACAAATATATGCGAAATCCTGAGTTCTTCAATGAACTGAGCGGGAGTTCAAAATAGATTGATGAGTCCTCAAACCTATGTCTTTACTCCCCGGAAAAACTTCTGTTATATATGCATTAAAATTAAACTAAAGTAAAACAATCATGTGAAAAAGGCTTACCTGACTCCGCAAGAAATAGCATAACAGTGAAACAGTGTTTCTATTGCTGACTTATGTAACTTGTATCTCAACTCACTCAACACTTGTATCTCAACAGTTATTCAAAACTAATCCTATTTCAGAAAATTCTCAAAATACATTTTTATAATTTTAAATATGTGTAACTATTATGAGTTTATTTTCATAAAAGTATATTTTATTGATTGTTTTTATAACCTGTATTATGATGCTTCTAAAATAGCATAACACTATATTCGTAAAGGGAGAAGGGAAAAACAATATTTTCTTTTCACACAACTTCATAATAACATATCCTTCATAAGAAGAAACAGGGTATTTTTTGCATCAATACGTAAAAACTTACAATCCCTTTTCACTTGAATTTTTAAGTAATATAATTATATAAAAGATTTAACAGATGACTGCAGGAAGAATATTAAAATCTAAAATCCCAATAATCATTGCAGCTCATTTTTAAACAATACTGCAAATGAATTCAACTAGTTCAGATCTTGATTTTGACAACAAAACACAAATGAGAATGTTATATACCAAAGATGTACCGTATTTGTCGGCGTATAAGACGCACCTTTCTTCTTTGAAAATTGGTTCTTTGGTTTGAAAAGAGGGGTGCGTCTTATACGTTGATACTCAGTTTATTCGGAGTTATGCGATTTTTTTCTTGTTTCTTTGTGGAGTGTGAAAATTACAGTTAAGTGAATGCGCATGTGCTGTCATCGACGATCATAGCTGGGTTCGTTTAGCTTTCCATTTTTTTGTGAACGACTTTAAAGTTTGTGAAATTTCTACTGTACAATTTTCTTAAATTTGTTGGAAAGTTATGGCCCCAAAACAAGTCGGCATTTCTATAACATAGCATACAAGCTACGTGTGCTTGCGTATGCTGAAGAACATGGAAACAGGACTTCGACGGACAGAGAGGTCCCAACTGAGTAAACGATAAGAACTTGGCAGAATCAGGAAGAGGTAGTAATGCACTGACTGGTACAGAGGGACAGTTTGTTGTAATGAGGACTCATATGCTGATTTAGAAGAGATTTCAAGTGTTTCTTCATTCAGCTCTGGAGACGAGTGTCTGGATTTTGACGAAGAAGATTAAAAGGTGTTCTTTTCCAAATAGATTGAGTATCTGCAGAAAGTATTACTTTTTATTTGTATTACTTTATATTTAAAATACTGTAAATTCATTGTAATGATCAGTAATAAAGTTCTATCTGTGTTGTAGCAGAGATACAAACATTGTCATTATTTATCTAGTTACTGCAGATCCTAGACTGCACCCTATCGAAGGTGATACCTCTTCCTTTTTCCTTGGGTTTCAACGTCTAACTTCATAAAGAAGTCCCATCCGATGTTTTCAACAGGCAAACAACCCGGTATATTAGAAGAGAGTTTAGTCAGCAATTTATCTACTATTGTGTTTTTCGACAATCATATTAAAAACTTAATGATCGAGGCGGCGTCAGATGAATTTTAGAGGATTTAATTTACATAAAACAATACGTTTTGAAGTTTTGTACTTCACAAACTTACTATTTTATTATTTGTAAGCAAGGTGACTTTCTTAGCAACTTTCTCTCTCATTTCCATTGAATTCTGTATTGGTTAATTCAACTTATTTCAACTATAATTTAGAACCAGTTCCGAAGTCAAGGCATAGCTAGATCTCAATTGCGATGGTCCATTTGTTGAAACAGATTTTTTCCTAAACAAGATGGTTTTTATGTCATTTCTTGTGGGACCGTGTTTGATACACCTGGGTGCCTAGGTTGATGCTTTACCCCAAATTGAACCTAGTTGAAAGGTTCGAAATATTTTAGAAAGTAACTTATTTGAGTTATAGCATTTTTTTTTAATTTAAATTTTGGAGAGATTCTTGCACTATAAATTCAAGACTCAAAGCTGTCTAACTTGATTGTCTAACTAACTCAAAGCTGACTCTAACTGACTCAAAGCTGTCTCGTCTAACTGAATCTATGTTATCAAGGTAACTTTGAAACAATATGTCTCAAGTGGTGAACAAAAATATCTACAATACACGCAAGATATAAATATACATAAATAAAAACAAAAGAATGCCGAATAACATGGCAAAGTAAATATAAAAAATCAGACTTCCATGATTACATTTGGATTGAGAATGGATATTGGCCTTTTTTTATTAATATCGTTCTTATCATCATAATTATAAATTCTGAATTCAGAGGTTACTTGTACGTAAACGAATGTGAAACTGTCTGGCCAGGTGGTAGTAAAAATTTCTCAGTGGAATTATGCCTAGTTCCGCATGAATTGCATTGTTTCTAATATAGTATGGTGCGTTTGCAATTTGCCGCAGAATATCATTCTGGGCAGTTTGTAGTTTCTTACGTAGAGTTTTACATGAATACGCCTAGACTGGACAAGCGTAACAGAGCATGGGACGCAGAATGGATTTATAAATGAGTAACTTATTACCTAGAGATAGAACGTTGTTTCGGGCAATTAAGGGGTTGAGTTTAGCTTTACGAACCCAAAACTTCTCAATAATAGAGTGTATATGTGGGGACCATGTGAGAGATTTTGTGAGGATCACAAAATTATTAATTATATACAAAGAAGAAATTTCATGCAGATATTGTTTCGCGGCTTTAATCCTTTCAGCCATTTGTCGACATAAAGAAGGGAGTTTGAAGTTCCGTCTGTATACAATATTATTTCCAGAGTAGTACTAATTTGTGGTTGTAATTTACTAAATTATTTGGACGAACTTAAGTTTAAATTTAGTTTATCAATTCAATGCTTGTTTATGACAACAAAAAGAAGAGAAACATTTAGCAGATACTTTAAATTGCATAAAAATTTCATCAAAATGAATGCCACTTCTGAGCTAGAATTTCTATGATTTTAAAGCTGATGTATTTCACTACATTTTTTTATTTGCTAATGCAATTTAGAAGTTACCCAAGTTTGGCAAAGGATATACTTTGATGGAATATTATAATGCCGATATTCAGTGCAAACTCAAAACAATTTTTATGTGAACTACTTTTGGAGTTTTCAGCAGCATTACAAATTTTTTTATATACAGAAGAGTACGATTGATGTTTAGCTCTTCTTTGGATGATGAGGATTATATGGGCTACGTGAATAATATTTAATAACATTAAATTTAATTTATGCTCATGAATTTAAATTATATGCACAGAAATTAAGAAGCTCACAGCTCTCCTTTATTTCGAGTTTATTTTTTATTACAAATTCATATTTTTGTCTTTTAAAACAAGAAACCATGCACAACAGAAACGATTATTCATCACATAACTACAGCAGGAAAAAGTCACATGAACTCATGTCGGAGTAATAGGGGCTGAGGAACCACAGGGATGTTTTTATTTGCCGAAAATTTGTTAACTCCTTATTTGCCGAAAACTCGTTAGTCGTGGTACAACACACAGTTAAATCTTGATTATTGGCCTCCCACGCATGACCGTTTCTTAATAGTCTTTCAAGAACTCGGTAAAAGGGTTGGTTCACCTCTTGGCCTGGAGACGCTATGGACGATTCTCTGGCCGTCGAGAAAGCAAATTAGCATTGCTTTGGATCTATAACTTGCTTTCTCCCTTTTTTATTTTGATGAGTTCTAATCTGCCATTTTCTAGCACTGGCGCTTCATTTCCGAGCTGTACTCGAACAGTCAAGACTCGTCACCAGTAACGACATGTTCCAGAAAATGAAGATCATTTTTAGTCTTGTCCAAAAAATCAAGGCACTTGTCCCTCCCCTTGTTCATTTGCTCTTGCTAAAGCTTTTTTGGAAAACTTTCTCACACATTTTCCTCATCGCCAGGTCATTTGTAAAAATATGACGAATGTTGGTGTAATTTAAGTTTTCTCCAACCATTTTGATTAGCGAGCGAGGATCAGAACGCACATCTCGGATTCTGATATTTTTTCAGTTATCGAGCTTGTAAACCTTCCTGTGTGAGATTCGTCTTCAATCAATTTCTTTCCATCTGAAAATGCCTTAAACCACCTGAAAACCAGAGCCCTTAAGAAAACATTTTCTCTGTTAGCGCAACGTTGCTCGGAATTGGTGTAATTTGTTTTCAGAACGCACCGCGAAAAATGCACTGCTGGTCATTAAAATTGCAACGCCATGAAGGAAAGCAAATATTGTACGTAAACAGCATGGCATGAAGACACGATGATTAAATTTTTAATCAATTTGGGGGTTTACGGGGGGGCAAAATTCGTAGAAACAGCTGGCACCCCTGGCAGCTAAGAGGGCTCTTACCCGATTAGGCATGGAGTTGAACTGGGCTTGGATAACAGAAACGGCTAACTCATTCCATGCTGTTTCAAGTCTGTACTACACTTCGTCAACCGTATTAGCTGGAGAGGGGTGGCGGGCCAGTCTCTCAGCAACCCATGACCAGATCTGGAGATCGTGCAGGCCAGGGCAGCAATCGAATACCCTGTGTATCGAGGAAGGTTAGAACACGACGTGCAACATGTGGTCTTGCATTATCTTGTTTGAAGATGGTATTTGGCAGGATTCGAAGTTAGGCCATAACCACTGGACGTAAGACGTCAGAAATATACCGATTTGCGTTCAAATTACCATCGATCCGAATTAGAGATGTGCATGTCGTGTGTACCCAATGGCTGCCCAAAGCATTACACCAGGTGCAGGGTCCCTATGCCGTTATCAAATGCAAGCAGGTGACGTGCGGTCTCCTCTGACCCTCCAGATACGGATACGAACATCAGAGTACTGCACGCAAAGCCGGGATT